TTTTCCCCCTCTTTTGAAAGACATGTCTTAAGAATTCCCCTCCAGCAGGGCTGCTGCCATTAAGGTGAAGGAAACATGGTATGAAACTTTTCCTGTTCATCTCAGTAGGGAAAGGTGTAGAAAAAAATTAAAATAAAAAGCGTCCAAAGTGTGGGGAAGTTCCCTTTTTTTGTTTTTATTTTAAAAGACAACGCCAAGAATTCCCCTACCAGCATAGCTGTTGCCATTAAGGAAATGGGGGGGGGGGTGGTTAGCAGTTATTATTTTTTAATTTTCTTATTTTCTCTCAATAGCAAACAGTACATTCAGAAAAGCAACATTAAAAAAAACTTTTTTGGATGACAACTCACAGAATTCTGCAGCAAAGGTCACCATTTTCTGGGAGTTGTAACCCAAAAAAATACTTTTTCAGTTGTTGTTCATGTATCATCAAGACTAGTCAGACCTTATAAATGCTTAATAATAATAATAATAATAATAATAATAATAACAACAACTCAGACCTATGCCGAACCTGTCAAGAGATCTTCTTAGCAAAATGTATCCTGAGGAGGTTTGCCATTGCCTTCCCTAAGGATGAGAGAGTGTGATGTGCCCAAGGTCACCCAGGGAGTTTCCATAGCTGAGTGGGGATTTGAACCCTCCTGTCCCAAAGTCAGCATAACACAGTGGTTTGATTGTTGGACTGTGGCTTTGGAGACGGGTTCAATTCCTGCTCAGCCATGAAACTCACAGGGTCACCTTGGGCAAGTTGCATGCTCTCAGCCTCGTAGGAAGGCAATGGCAAACCTCCTTGAACAAACCTTACTAAGGACCTTATCCCACGCTGCTCTCAAAAGTGGCAAGAAACCGATATGAGCATCATTGCAGTACTATAGCGCTAGTATAATATGGCGCTAGCGCTATAATAGCGCTATGGATAAGGTAGCGATATTGCAATGCCCGATGAAAACAGGCATACAAAAGAACCCGAATGATGCTGCATTCCGAGCGGTTTCTTGTTGTATTCTGAGCGACGTCGTGGGATCACCCGGAAAACTATAGCGCTATAGCGCCTGATTCTTAGCGGATTCCGAGCGACGTCGTGGGATCACCCGGAAAACTATAGCGCTATAGCGCCTGATTCCATGTGGATTCTTGCTGCTTTTGGCCCCGTGGGATAAGGTCCCCAGAAAACCCCATGATAGGTCCACCTTAGGGATGCCATAAATCAGAAATGAATTGGAAGCACACGACAACAACAATCCCAAAGTCCTAGTCCAGCACTCAAACCACTGCACCACACTGGCGTCTTCATTTTCCCAGGCTTTGCTCAAAATAAATCCCCAGGATAAGAGAATAGCTTAGACAGAAATTCATGGGGATGCCATAAGTCAATAGGCAACTTGAAGGCGCATACCGGACATACACAACTGAGGTTTGTCCCTGTGTTGCAGTGACACACATTGTTTGTATTTGGACCAAAATGCCTACTAAATTCAGGAGGAGTGGAGTAAATATACAAGGCGGCTTCACTACACCCCCTTCCAATGTCTTAGTTCTGGGTCAAAGCATCATTAAAACCTCCTCTGAGAGGTGAGAAGTGTTTCCTGAGCTATTCTGTGCTGGCCTCTCTAGCCTTTCGAAGTCAGCAGCTGGGCAATATCTGATCCATTTCCCCCAAATTGTGGAATGACCTGCTGGAGGAGAGTCGACAGCTGGCTACAGCTGGTTTGATTTTAAAACAGCATTAAACATCAGTCTTTTCTGGGAGGTGCTTTTTAATGACGACTTTTAAATTATGAACTGATTGTTTGAATAGGTACACTTTTTATCTGATTATTTATATTTTAATAGATTTTCATGCTTGTAACTATGTTTCCATGGCTGAGTGTTACATATTTCCATGGCTGACTGTTTATTTGTTGCTGTACTTTAGTTTGTTGCTCCCTGCCTTGATCCATAGGGAAAAGTGGATTATTATTGTTGTTGTTATTGTTGTTATTATTATTACTATTACTATTTGCCAGCCTAGATCATCATAAGAATTATGAGAGTTAAGGCACTGGCTGAACACTTTCTCCTTTGCAGCTTCCCTCCCCTAAGGATCCCTTCCATAAGTTTAGGTCAGGAGTAGGGAGATGCTGTGTCCTTCCAGTGTTACTGAATTCTAGTTCCCCTCTGCCCCAATATGGCCTAGTGGTCAGGGTCGATGGGCACTGTAGCCTACGTCACAACTTCAGCATCCTTCATCCTGGATACCATCTGGGCTCAGATTATAGCTTCTTGTCTTCAAGGAATGACTGGAGGTGCACAAGCAGGCCCCAGACAGGGATGACAGCGAAGGAGCCAGCATTTGAGAGGCATGCCCAAATGATCATGGGCAGTATTGTTGAACTTGTGCCTCAGAACCTGCATCTGTTCTTCTAGGTGGCTGTCTCTGTGTTTCTCTCAAATTATGTGATGCTGCTGATCGGGGAAAGATAGCAAGATTTTCCTAGGGCTAACTTACCAATAGCAAACATCATGAGCTGAGCATGATATATCGGGGACTGGGCATAAGACTGGCTTTTGCTACTTGTGTTGTCTTGTTGGCTGCATGAGGTTATGATGCCAACAGTAATTATCTTGTACCATTGTGAAAGGAATATGGTCAGGCAAATACTGAATGCTAGTGTGAAATTCAGTGTTGGTACAAGAATAGACATTAGTGATAAAGCATTAAAAGTTGCATTTTAAAGTATTATATATACTTTGCTTATTTTAAGAAGTCCATTGCATATTTCCTTGACTAATTAGGGAAGACTGGGCAGCATTGAGGCTGCAGTTCTATACCTGCTTGTCCAAGAGTTCCCTTGTTGAGTGTAATGAGTCTTACTTCTGAGTAAATACATATAAAATGACACTGTTTGCTTATAAATCTTATTCTGGCTCAATACAATTTGTTCCTAGAATCATAATGTTGCAAGGCATCCTAAGACCTGTTCCGTGCAATGATTTTACTCCTGACTAGGCACATAAAAGCACTGTTGATTTCTAAAATCTTATTCTGTCTTGTTCATAGAATCATAGCATTGAAAAGGACTTTAAAGTCTAACCTTTTGCCAGTGCTCTTTTCTCTTAACTTCCAGTACATGGTGTTACTTGGCCTTGCAGCAGTACCTGCGGTGGACTTAGATTTCCTAGTTAACAGATAGCAGCATGAATTGTGCAGCCTTTTTACTCATTCTCATCCAGGACTTGGTACAGAGGAGTGCTCAGATAGGAAAGGTGGAGTAAAGAGAAGCCCAACTGATGCCTGTTAATTGAGCCATCAGTTTACACTAATATTGTCACAGAGAAGATGAGAGAAAATCCTAAGAAAGAACCGTGAAATACAGAGAGAATATTTGGGCTCCCTGTCTGCAGCAACTGCCACTTGGATGTGGGTGCAAAATGGGCAGATCAAAGCCCAGGAATGGAAAATGTGTAAAAGTAAACTTATATAAGATGTGTTTTCAAGATAACAGAAAAATCACCAGATAGCAGCTTTTAATAGAATCTTAGGACAACAATTTTGCAACTTCCCATTGGCCCTGATGCTGTAAAGCATGTTAAATCAATGAAACCAATTGTGTGAGATTTAGAAAATCAGAAAGTGATGAAATTGGATAGTGGCAGCCAGCAAGATGTGCTTGTTTATTTAAATCCACATAGCAGCTTTGGAACAGGAGGAGACTGATGCTCTAAAATCATTCTTAATTCAGCTATGTAGCAGTGATTTTATATGTTCTTAATGTCTTTGTAAACCACTTTCAGCAAAATCTCAGTCTAGATTAGCTTTCCTCAATCTGGACCATGCTGGAAGATGATGTAGTCCAGCACAGTTGAAAGGTGTCAGATGGGCTAAGGCCAGAGCTTGAAAACATTATTTTTGGACTTCATGTCCCAAAATCTATATAGCCATGATGGCTGCGGATTCTGGGAATTGTAGTCCAAAAGGTCTACAAGTGTTTGGTACTTATATCTCAATGCTTCTTCCCATGCTGTATTTCACAACAGATGTCTAAGGTAGCATGGAATAATTGTAGTTATCAGTGTTCCTTAATGTGTGAATAGACAGATTTCTGAGATAACAGATCTGGCAAAGTTTTTGGAAGCACATTTGGCATTCATGTTTCCCAAGGAGCATGTCAGAGATGTTGTGAAGATGCATCTATGAATGTCTGTTCCCCACAAAGAAGAATGTTAAATAGAAAGAACCTTGTCTCTGAACTCCGTGCCTTCCTTCTCCAAATAAGAATCAAACTAATGTGGGCCAAGCGTACATTACAATTTGATGTCTTACGCTGTTCAATTGTTCTTTAAGATTCACTCAGTTACATGGGTAGGTCATCTGTTTGGTAGCTTCACAGAAATAAAACCTGACCTGTAGACTCCCATCGTCCCAGGTTCATAATGTGGACTAACAGCTAGTATTTGCAGTGCTAGCCACTCGAGATGCTGACATGGGAAGCATCCAGATGAGAGCTTCTGCTACTGGTACAGTGTTTGCTGAATTGGAGTCATACAGGCATAGTGGTTGCGCTTACTGCAAGATTTCAAGTGATTTTGGGAGCAGAGTTCAGATAAGATTTCCAAGCTCTGTATAATATGTTCTGTATCAGGAGTCCTCCTCAAGTTTGTGCTGTCATCAAGATCTGTTATATTGATATGTTCAAGAGACAGAAGCTCCTCGAAGTTGGTCCTAGCATTGTAAAATGCCTTTTCAATTGGCATGTACCTTGCCTCTTCTGCATAGGTGTTTATGCAACCACCCTTCTGTTTAAAGGTGATTTCAGTTGAACCCATGGCCAACTTCTGTGTTCAAAGCAACTTAGCAAAGTTTTCTCTTCGTTTGTGTACTTTGGCTCTTTGTGTCTTATGTCTGACTGTGCTTTTGTTAGTAGATTGCTGTGAGAGAGCATATGCCTGAAAACACTTTGCTTGTTTTTAAGAAATGCTTCAGTTTCATAATGATTAGTATACTTGATATATCGAGAGCCAGTGTGTTGTAGTGGTTTGAGCATTACACTATGATTCTGAAGGCTAGAGTTTGAATCCCCACTTTGGCTCTGGAAACCCATGGGGTGACCTTGGGCAAGTCAGTCACTCTCAGCCTCCAAGGAAGGCAAAGCCAAATCCCCTCTGAACAAATCTTGCCAAGAAAAGATCTGTGATAGGTTCACATTAGGGTTGCCATAAGGAAACATCCTGAAGGCACACAAGAACAAAAACTTAATATATCATTTTTTTTCCAAAAATGAGATTGGGGAGATACAATATTTTATTCTTAAATCAGTGTCATGCATATCCCACCGTTCTATGTCCATGCAGCTCACAATTTAATCATAATAAGTATAAAATAATGCATTAAATTCAATTCATGTGGCACAATTCAATACACATACAAAGACATTGCAGAGGCACTAAAAACACTGAAACAGAGACCATATTTCATAGGGCTGGAAGGGCCCCCTAGGTCAGTGATGGCGAACCTTTTAGGCACTGAGTGCCAAAACTAAATGGCCTTCTGGCACTGTGTGTTACCCCGTGTCAGAGGCAGGACTTCCAGGGGGGATGGGACTTCCAGGGAGGGATTTCTGCCCTATAGGGGTGGGACTTCTTCCCCTTTGCACTTTCCCAGGCTTTCAGCTGCTTCTCTGGAGGCAACTGAAGGACTGGGACAGCCAGGAAGAGGAGGAACAGCCGTGCACCTTTTCCTTTTCTTCCTTACTCTGCATGCCAGGGGAAATGGCTTTGCGTGCCATCTCTGGCACAAGTGCCATAGGTTCGCCAATGTGGCCCTGGGTCATCAAATTCAATGCAGAAAATCCAGCCACATTTAAAACAACTTTTAAATTGGGGTGGGCAATTCATGACCCTCCAGGACTGCAACTCCTATCATCACTCAGCATTGCCTGTGTTGGTGGGGGCACAAGTTGCCTCCCCTTGTTTCAAATAACAATTTAGAAAATCAGGGCCTACCAGGATAGAAGTATCTTCATTATCTGATACATACATCTAGGGAGATGGTCTTTGGAAACAGGTAGGCAGGTTGGAGAGGAGAAGGTGGCGACAGTGCTTTAGGGAACCTGTGCCAGCCATTACAGCCAATTGGGATTGCTTTCAGAAGCACTCTGGGGTTGTGAATCCCACTGGACTCAATGGGGCCTGCTTCTGAATAAATACCCAGAAGAGCTGATTATCACTGCTCAAAGTTATTCATGTCTGATAATCATTACAGCCTCTCTGTGAGAGAGCAGGGTTATTTTGATCCCACACTTGCAAGAGTCAAGTGACAACAGTGAAAGCAAGGCTTGTCCAAGGCAGCTTGCAACTAGGTATGTAGACCTTCAACTATTGCATCCTCACGGCACAGAGAAAACAAATATTTCTCTGCACCATTCTCCCTGTGTTTGAACCAGGGCTGTGGACTTGGAATCAGAAGCCATTTTGCATGGAGTCACAGTCGGTAAGAATGTACCAGTGCCAACTGGCTTCAGAATAAAAACTTGTAATATTAAATGCCTAGTTGATTGCACATTTACTTCCATGGGAATGTAGGAAAGTTTTGTTTGTTAAGAAATATTAATTCAATATATTTTATGCTCTATCAATCAAAGTAGCCTGATGATTTATATGGTAATGCTGAAATGCCTTGTGCTACCATTTTACTATGGCAAATTTGTTATTACAAATCAATATACATTTGCTATTTATGAAGGAGTTGGACGGTAGAAAAATTGAGTTAGAGCTAAAGATTTGGCATACTGATTCCACAGTCCTGGTGGCACAGTGGTTAAATGCCTGTACTGAAGCCACTCACTCACATACTGTGAGTTCAATATCAGCCTGGGTCGACTCAGCCTTGCATCCTTCCACCTTGTTGGGGGCAATTGTAAACCACTAAGGGAGTGCTTAAATGCATTGATAAGTGGTATAGAAATGCTATTGCTATTGTAGAGCCATTATTCTGTAGAGAAAAACATGTAGGAGGTTTTGCACACAGAGACACAGACGCACACACATTTCTGTGCAGAATACAAGTTTCCACAGTGTTTCTGTCCAAAAAACCCATTTCCTATGTAGAAAAAAGGTCTTGATTAAAAATCCCCACATTATCTTCTCAATAGAATAATTCATCCACAACACATTGAGACATTTAAACACCAGATGAAGATTGCACAAAATTCTTGCCAGTCTTTTTTTTTTTTTAACTGACAATTTTCTGACTATTAAAAAAGCCATTTTTTAACCTGGAAATAAATGTTCCTTCCATCCCTATTTACAGTCCTGTACTTGTTTACTCAGAAATAAATTTGATTAAAAAAAAGTTGAGGATATCCCAGGGGAGGTTTTGAGGAGGAGAAAAAATTATAACTTCCTAGTAGAGCAACTGAAATACTACAAGATCTATAGATGGGAATATATAGAAGGTTTGACAGTGAGCTGGACCAGAAAAGATTTAGATTGGAGAACACGTAGAAAGAGGATTGAAGGGAAAGATAAGGAAGGAACTAGTGAGGAAGTAGGGGAGACACTAGAGAAAGGAAACAAAGGAAAAGTACCGGAGGAAACAGAGGGAGCAGTTGGAAGTGTGAGACAAGAAGAAGAGGTAGAATCTGAAGAGGGATAACAGAGAGAGGGAACAACAAGAGAGCGCTTCGGTAGACAAGAGGAAAGTATAGAAGGTTGATTAAAGTAATTCAAGATAGATTCAGACTAGAGTAATAACTTTTTTCCCCTCCTTCTTCTTCTTTTGCCCCTTCTCCTTACTTTTCTGTTTTGTTTTGTTGTTGTTGTTTTTGCATTCCTATTTTGGGGGAGATTTGAGGGAAACAAAGCAAGAGTTGTAATTGAAATGGGATTTAATATTTTAATGTGGAATGTAAATAGTTTAAATTTGCAGCATAAACATAATAAACTATTTCATTTCTTGGGGGAAAATTAAGTGGATTTGATATGTCTTTAGGAAACACATATCAAAGAGAGACAAGATTAATTAAAAATGATAAATTAAGGAAGGAATATATATTTGCCTCTAAGGAGAAGAAATAAAGGGTTGTAATATATATAAAAACATATATATCAGCAATGGAAGTGATAAAAGACAAAAATGGTTGTTATGTAGGTATAGAAATATTGAGTACAGGAATTAAAATATTAGTAATAGGCATATATGGGCCCCTAGAAAACAAAATAATTTTCTATGAAAAATTATATGAAGAAATAGCAGAATTTGACTATGGAAACATTATTTTATTGGGAGATTTCAACGGAGTACTAGAACCAGAAATAGATAGGACTTCATTGGAAAAACTAAAGGCTAATCAGGAAAAGCTACCTAAAAGTTTCTTTAAATTAATAGACAATTTTTCATTGGTGGATTCATGGAGACATTTAAATGGTAATGCCAAAAGTTACACTTTCTATTTAATAATAATAATAAATAATAATAAAATTTTATTTATACTCCGCCCCTCTGAGCACAATCTGGGCGGCTAACAACAATTAAGAATACATAAAATACAATATTTTAATAGACATAAATCGCTATCCAGAATTAATATGTGCACCTAAAACCTTATTAACACAAATAACAATGGTAGAACTACTTTCAAGAGCCCTCTGGGACCATAACAGGAGAGGAGACATTGGGCATCCCTGCCTTATACTTGGATTAAAAAATGGGTTGGTTTGGGTGATGTGAGATTATTGCAATTAGAGGGGAATGGTCTGCAGAATGGCTGGCATGCATACCTGGAATATGACAACGATCAAATTAATAGAGATTTCAGTAATCATTGTATAAGGAGATTGTATTAAAAGCATGGAAGAAATATAAGAATAGGATGGCTCCCCAGACAGTCCTCTGGGTTTCTCCCTTAGAAGCATTCCATAAAAAGACAAACAATTGGATAATACATAAAGATTTGCTGAAGAAATGTGAAGGAAATCATAAAATGAAACCACAACTTGAATTGGATGAAGAAGGGATAAAATTACAATGGTATACATACAGACAAATATATGAAAGATTTAAAAGATTTAAAATAGATGAGAAAACAAGAGGTGTATTAAAAGAAAATACTGAATTGGGCAAAATTTTGTGTACCAATGTGAGTGAAATAAATTCTAAAATATACAAAATCTTATTGGATTTTGAGATGGAGGAAGAGGTAATAAAAGAACAAATGAATATCCAGGCTAAAAATATTGGTCATCTGATTTATTTAAATCAATGGGAAAAAATATGAAAGAAGGGAATAAAATATTCAGTATTGCAGAAATTGAGAGAAAGTCTACAAGATGTTCTCTCGATGGCATATGTCCCCTGAAAAAAATTGCTAAAATATACAAAAAAAGGAGGGTAGATGCTGGAAATGTGGAGAAAAATGAGTCATTTTACCATTGCTGGTGGACCTGCAAATTAGCAAAAAATATATTGGATAACAACATGGTAATTAATAATATATTAGGGTTAAATCTCCAAATGTTTCCAGAATTCTATTTATTAGGTATTTTTGAAGATGAGTTAAAAATTAAATTTGGGGAGATTTTGTTTTAATTGATTGCAACAGGGAGAATGGCCTTTGCCCAAAAATGGAAAAGCGAAGAAGTACCAGAGGAAGATAAGTGGTATTTAAAGTATCTGAAGCTATAGAAATGGATAAATTAACACAGATTTTTTTTAAAAAAAACAATTCAATGGAAAAAGTAAATAGAAAATGGAGAGTAGTTATGGACTATTATTTTAAAAAATGGGAAAATTGCAGTGATAGGATTCCCAGTATTTTCTGTTATTGTAAGAAGAAGAAGGGGAAGAAAAGGGGGGTAGGAAATTGTTGACATATAAGACAAGCTAATAGAAAACATATGAGTAATGGGTATATAGGATAAGATTTAAGAATAATAAGGAAGTCTTTAAACTCTTCTTATTAAATCAGAAGAGACAAGGGATGAAGTGTAGGTGTGGAAGGATGAGTGTAGGAAGATAAAGTAAGTGAAGAAGGTGTAAGTGTGGAGAGGAAGAGAGAAGAGAAAGAGGGAGAATAATGGGAAGATTCAAAGT